AATAATTCATACTGTAACCAAAAAATCTAAAAAATATATAAACACACTTATTTTTTACAGACATTTTAATTTCAAATTTAGACAAAATTTCATATTTAAACCAAGAATTACGATTTTAGTTATTTTGTTGTGATTGAATAATACTATTCGTGGGTACTTGAAACTTCTAAAGTGTACTATTATATATCTATGATAGTATCACGGTTTTTGTTGATGTATAACGCGTTATAAGTATCTAATGGATATTGTGATATGATTAATTTGGAATTTATTATAGGTACCTATTATAGGTCAATTTTTTGTTTAATACCATAGATATGTATATAATATGCCTTATACATAGACTGACATACCATCACCGCTCAGAATCGTTTTTCTTATACAATGATATTATATCATTGAATTCAAATTTAATACCATCCATTATACAGTGACCCACTTGTAACCTACTGTACAGCAGAGCGACACCCACTTGCCCACCTTTTTGAAGTTCCGACTTCTATTTTTTTTTATGACTTTTTCATATATTTTAAAATAAATTATATTACTGTTTGCTTAGGTTGATTTGAAAGGGTATCTAATAATTTATTATTAATATATAGTTCAATATAATTTATAGATACAGTATGGATGAAAACAGACGATAGGTTAAATACAAGATACCTGCATAATTTATTATGTTAATTAATTTTATGTAAACTGAGAATGAAAATTACGTTTGCGATTTAAATTAATATTGTACAGTTATAATAATAATTTTCCCAAGAATAATGACACATACAACTAAAAGAATATTACACTATATTATTATTATTATTATTAATTAATAATAATTTGAAAATTACGATATAATGATATGTGCAGGCTATTTAAGAAACCAGCAACAGTATAGCAACTAACATTTCATATTTAAAAGAACAAATTTTCTAAAATGTTGGAGGCCCCCTTAGCCCCTGCAATAAATACGACCTTAACTCTAAACAATAAATAAAGCAAACATACGCAATCAATTAAATGTTTGTAAAACTGTTTATGACAAGAATAGAGTAGGTATGATATGTATAAATTTATAAATGTATAATACACTTACCGATTTTAAATGACTAAAGTATTTTAAATTGTTATCGAACCGTTTGATTCAAAACTCAAAATGGGTATCATCGAATACATGGTTCATTCTTTTATTATATTATTATGATGTATTGATGTTTAATGAATAATTGGACGAATGACGATAAAGCGAGTATCAAAGTTGCAAAAGTTGTATCATTGAGGTATATTAAAAACATTCAGAATTTATCGTCCGGCGATTATGGGAAAAATAAAAAAAGTGTTTTGAGAGTTAAGTGCTAGCAGAATATACTTACAAAAAAAAAAAAAAACACTATCAACGTTGAAATGTTTTATTAAGTTCGAGTTCAGTAATGGATTTTGTCCATTGAATTTAAAACGTATCCGATTAAACAAGCGTCAGCGTAAAATTGTCGACTTTTTTCTTTTGCTTTTTTTAATTGCAAAAAAAAAAAGAGCATTTTATGCCTCCGCTTATTCGAGCATAAAACATTCAAAAGACCTTAAATTTTCGCCCCTTCCTCTTTTTTAGTTCAAAATGTGTTCGACGGGGCAAAAAAAAACTGTCAACTTTTAATTCGGTATCGGTGTTTTATAATCTTAACGACCTTTTAATACAAACTTGAATAAAAGTTTTCGCAGAACGAAATTTGTGAATAATGTATAAAAAAGTAACTGACGATAAATATGGTAATAATAAATGTATTTTGAATGACTGTACCTTTTTACCGTTATTTTGGTTCTTAAATAAATAGGTACGTAAACATAGTTTATGTACCTTAGTATACAAATTTAGCTTAAATTATACACATTTTTACAAGTTTGTAAAAATTATGTTACGTAAAACCATTAGTCAAACATATGTATATAGCCTAAAGTCTAAATGATTTACTCTATAAAGTATTACAATTAATTTAAATCAATAATTTAAAATAATTTATACTTCTTGTACTTAACTTATCTTATAACAAAATACTATTGCATACATAAATATATTTCCACAGATCAAACTGTATTTTAAATGTATAACATAAAATGTTTTGCTTGTCATGATGACAATACCTTTATAAAAAAAAATGGGAAGTGCAGTACACATAGGTATATTTTTCTTCTAATAAATTATTATTATTTATTTTATATTAACTGCATAGGTATCCAAAAGTGTTCGAAAAGTTATTAAAGTTGGCTTATACAACATAAAAGAACATTTTTTTTTTGATAAACTATCATTTTATTTGTTTATGTAGAACTATTAGCGATTAGTGCCTATAACTGTATATATTTATATTTAAATTACAGATGGTCGAAGAATCAATGGAATTCAGCTGGTCACCAACGTACAAGCGAAGGACGTTGGGGTGGTCTATAATTTATATACGGACAGGTGTGATCAAATGTTGAAATATATGACAAAAGGGGGTCAGAAGACCCGATTCTAAATTATTTTAAATTAATTAATTGGTAAAAATTCACGTTCAAGTAGAAAAAAATTACATCAAAACACATAGGTAATTGTGTGGCACAGTGTGAAGCAATGTTTTCAGGGGTGGTTGTGTAATAAATATTCTATAAACGAATGTCTATTAAATTAAATATTTAATTATTTAATGTTTTTCATTTGTACTGAATTAAATAGTTATGGTTGCGCCATTGACACCATATTTCGGCCAGTCGATATAAGTACTAAATATAAAATATTATATACTGTACCTACATTATTTATAGTTAACACATTTATGTATCTAACATCATGACAATGTGTCAGCTGTCAGGACGTGAGAACACGAAAAGAAGGTCCTTCAGCAGACGCTGAAGGATGAGACCACCGTTTAACCAGTGTTCACTAAAAAAATGAATTCGTTCACGTTCATATTCAGTGCTTATAAAAAAGATACTCGTTCAAGTTCAAATTCATATTTTTTTTAAATGAACACGTTAAAGTTAAAGTTTTTTGAAAATATAATAATTTTTAAAATTCATTTCGTCGTTTATTTAGTTTTAATTAATTTCATTTTTTTGTAGATACGAATACAAAATCGCGGAAATCATAATATTATTGTTGTTCTATGTTCACTGGAATAGTTCATGTATTTATTGTTTTTATAATTCGTAATATATTATAAATATCATGATAGTATTATCAATCAATATTTATTAAAAAATAAATAAATTTGAACTACTTAAAAATCGTTCAAATTCATTAAATATATAATATAAACGTCGTTCACGTTCTATATTTGAAAAAAAAAACAAGCGACGTTCACTAAATCATATATGGACTTGAACGCGTGAAACGTTCTTTCCAAACACTGAATTTAACCGAGACTCCGCAATAAGTACCTAAATAAGTTTGTCAGAAATTCAGTTGCTTTTTTTATATTTTGCAGCAATCTCCTTGTCTGCGACCACATACATTATACATACAACGACAATATAGTAGTTGTTTAGACGGTTGATACAGTTATTGTATGGTTACAAACTGAAACAACTTATGTTAATAAAATATATTATAGGTACACGTATTTATTTAAACTATAAATTATACTAAGCTACATTCAAACTAGCTGATCCCGTGCCCTTCGTTGCCCGTTAAAAGTGCCAACTCTATATATTATGATTCAAACTTTGTTCAATTATTCGTTTATTTAATATTCGATGTACTTGTGATGTTCAAAACTTAAAAATTTCCATCGATCATCTTGAATCTCAAAATACTAGTGCAAGCACCACTATAAAATGTAAATTAGAGATACGTAGAATTTTTTTAAAATGCAATTACAAATATGAAATAGGTACATAGAATTCCTGGTTTCTTGTTCACTTGATCCATTTTTTTATTAGGTACAAACATTTTTCGTGATTTTGACTTACTAGACTAAGCTTTGACAACATTTTAACTTTAAATGTACTTAAATATATAAAAAAAAAATCGAGCTGTTGTATCTTTACTATTTTTCCATGGCTGTAAAAATACATTTTAAAGAACCTTTCATTAAATTTTAAAATTTTTTGAATGAGGGGAAATGTTTTATCAACGTTTATAAAAAAAAAAACGGTTATTCGTTTTTAAGTTACACCAAATTGATTTTGTCCGAAATTCATTTCATAATTGTACCTATTTTGTTTATTCCGATGTTAATGAAAAATACTGTGAATTTTTCATTTTGACCATTCAAAATATTAATTTTACTTAATCTGATTTCCTATCAAAATTGAATATTGAAACATTTTTTTTTACCATATAAATTATAATATCATGTACTGACACACATACAAAGTACAGACACATCATTGTAAAATCAATACATTTATCGTTCTGCTCGGAATCTAAAGAGGGCAAAGTATTAAATGTGCTCTGTAGTCTGCTGTAAAGTAGGTGACGACTGAAAATATTTTGTTGTTACCGTAATTTATCGTCGTTATGACTTGTCCACAATGTTTCAGTCTGCGATAGAGTTATGACGAATACGACGATACTATATGATGATGATAATTATATATAATTATTTTGTTTGATCAATTATGTAACAGATAGGTGATGAGAGAACTTCGGTGGGTATATACACAATGATAGAGCACACACATCAATAGACAAATTAATATATATATACGAAAGATCGATTATATTTAATTTTAAAAACTAATTATTTTCGAATAAATCACCTTATTCACTCTCCGCGCCGTTTGAATATTTTATCGTGATGACAAAACTTTTGAACATGCTATATAATATACTCTCGAAAAACCCTTGATAAATTCATTAATTGGTGTAATACGTTTAATTTATCTCTTAACGTATCAACATATAAAGTCATGACTTTTTATCGCTCTAAGTCAATGATGTCTTTTGATTATAGGCTATAGGAGGTATTATTCAACGTGTTAGCCAGGTACATGATTTAGGCATTTTGCATTTGTATATTGATTATATGACCACCAAAGCTTTCCGTGTTTTGGAATTTATAAGACGTCACTCATCCAATTTCAGTTCAACCAATTGCCTTCTGGCTCTCTATTATGCATTAGTCCGTTCGGTTATTGAATATGGGTCTGTTGTTTGGTCACCATATACCGCAGTTGATATTTGTCGGATTGACCGTGTTCGAAATAGTTTTATGCGTTTCGCCGGACATCGCCTCAACATCCCCCATTCACCACATGATTATGGGCCAATAAGTCAAGCTCTGAGACTTGATTCCCTTTCGGTTAGGCGTGATAATTTTGGTATCACTTTTATTCAGGGTTTGATCGAAGGTCGAGTTGATGCACCAAGGCTTCTTGGAGAACTTAGTTTTCGTATTCCTAGTAATACTAGGCTTCAGTCTAATTTTTATATACTCACCAATAAATCTAATTTCTCCAGGAATTCCCCACTTTTAAGAATGATGCATAATGCAAATAATAATATAGATTATTAAACCATGTTTAGAACGAAGGCTCCATATATATATATATATAAAAAAAAAATGCCTATCTATTGTTTTAATATCATTAGATCAAAAACTTTTTTTGCACATGTCATTTAAGTTTCTCAGATTCGTAACATTTTAAGTAAGTATATGTAAAGCATCTTATAAGTTGCTATAATATGTCTTTATCTGTTATCTACGTTCTTCTTGCTTGTATAATTTTGTAAAGCCTATAATAATAAAAGATTATAATAAATAAATATAAATAAATACATTGCATATATCTATAGTGACGATCGAGCTTTAGGCGTTTTGAGATAACTAAATTTGGCGTAATCCATTTTTAATCTAGTACCTAACATCTAACGAGTGAAACAGCGGTATAATAATTCTACAAAAATATATTAAAATATAATTTCAAATTTCAAGAAAACGTATTTTCAATAGTTTTAATTACACACTCTTAAATATGAAGTCATAATTATACAGTCTTTAATATAGAAATTGTATCAATTATAACTATTACAAATAAAATTGATAGTTAAATACTTAAATGCTAATATAACTAAACAGTAATCATATTATGTGCAATAATGTTGATATTGTTAATACATAGAAGTATGTAGGTTAGTAGGTTTATTATAGTAATTGTATTATAGCACCATCGAATAAACTTATAATATTTCAACAAAAAACTTTTGTTGTATTTTAATAATATGTATGTAAGCATGGAGTTATTTTATATCTTTTTAACTGCTCACCATAACTACAGTTTAGTAACCATTTATAATTTAAATGTCAAACAGTTCAAAACTTTGTATCGGACGAAATTCGACTCGACCTGCTGAATTTGAATCCACGATATACGTTTGAGATTTAAGGTAGAGACATTTTTTAATCTTCAAATATAACATGTAAGTTGAATTTTTTTTATACGGTATATACAATTTGTCCTTCTAGGAACAATAAGAATATGTGATGATAGAAAAATTATATATATACATAAATGCTTGATGAGAGCTGGAGTCATCCAGTGGTAACACTACCCTTACTTGGTGAAGTTGAATTTAATATAATTTAGTGTAGGTATACGCATTAAGAGCCGACCGAGTCTGTTATATTAGGTATATTATTATTTAAGACTGCACTGCAGTTACCTAATGCTTTTATAAGCGTTAAAGCTCTGTCGTCGTTTGCACTTACCCCCCAAACGTTTATTTGAATATTTATTGGAAAATAACAATTGGCCCGTATGTCTGCCCCCGGTAAACACGACCGAAATAAACGAGTATGAAAAATGCATGAGATTACCGATGTAAAAATAATGTCGGTTCTTAAAAAGTACAAATTATAAACGCTTCGATACATACTACGCACTAAAATATAATCGATCTGCATCGAGAAACCTTCAGTATATATTATAGTATAGGTAATATAGGTGTAGGGTAGTATGGTATATGGTGTGAATATATATTATTATATTTAAAGGTACACTCGTAAAATATTATAATATTTTAACGACAGTCACGAATGTCAAGTTATTAGCCTCGTAAACGCGCCAGTATATAATGTATACCTACAGTAGTTATATACCATGGTATATAATATGCGTGTAACATGTAAGCGCTTATATAGTCGCAATTCGCAAACGTTTTCATTAATTACAATCAAATTATGAATACATAGTACTATAATAAGCAAAAGGGAATAATTCCGTCAAATGGCTGCCGTCAGTTTTATAGCTTTGCTAGATGCGATTAGTGATGATCCGGCGTGTGTATGTGTATCGGTCGTGGGGAAAGGAGGATTGTTTTTAACCAAGACAGGAAATCTTAATCATTTGTTATCTGGTTCAATTAGATAAATCTAGATATTATTTTGTTAAACTCGGGGCTTACTTATGCATTTATTCTTTCCATTACAGGACGTTTTCCAGAATTGCTGTACTCACATTCGATATTTCGATAGTAACTTGATATGAGTTTACTGCACTTTATACGTATTGCGTTCGAATTCTCGAGATCTCCATTATCTATAGAAAGTAGTTACATGAAACAATTTTTTCGATACACTATTGTTTTGTTCGAATTAGGTCTCATGTTCTAGTTGTATGGTGTTATGCGCAGGGTGGTCAAATCGCTACCCTCTCTCGAGTAGTCGAGTCTAACACCGCAGATTACAGGCCACCTGACGGCTTTACAATACGCGTCGATGAGTGATTGCGTATACGAATTCCTATACAGATATAAATCGTTTTTCAATTTGCGACTGCAGCGAATTCGGCCGGGAGTGACTACATCTAAGCGTATGGAATTGTGTCTCGCAATCGGTCGGATTGAAGTCGAAAACAGTGTAAAACCGGTGGTTGGAAATCATACTATTGATGTATAGTCGGCGCCACCCAACTACCAGTATAAAAAACCAAAATTTCTTATGATTATTGATACTTTTATTCAAACCCCAAGTTTCTATATATAGTACCTATGCTACTTTTTTTTTTAGTTCCAAATCGTACAATCGATATCTATAGGCCATGATGGTTAGAAACGATTTACCAGTGTTTACTAGAAAGACGTAACTTGCATAATATTTTTAAATATCAGTGGTGCGTGTTGTGATGATATGATTTCAGTATTTTGTTAGGATGTGTGAATAGTTTTTAAATTTCTAGCGAATCTTAGCGATTTGTACCATAGGTACTTGTTTTCATTTTGGATAAAATAAAAATATTTTATTGGGTAGAAACCGTAAAAAATAGCATCCTGAGAGGCGATATTTGCGCTATTCACAATGGAAAATTGTATAGTGGCTGAACGCCACTACCGAAACAATTTATTTAAAAAGTAGTGCGACACTTCCAACCACCAAGTACACAAGAATCGGAAACCGGTAAACCACACTGAACCGTCTATGCACCATAACGATTTCACAGTATTCGTGGTATATACATGGACATTGGAGCTAAAAAATTCGCGAGTGAGTCACGTCGGCGAGAGCTGTTTGACGGGCGGCGAGCATTTAAAGGGTATATACAACGCTTATATTTTATTATTATTATATTATGATTGTTATTGTTATTACTGTATACGGTGCGATGCGCGGGGGAGGGGGTCGCGTGCAAGACGTCGTCGTTTTTAATATAACGACGTGTGCAGTTTGTATATTATATACATACACGAGCTGAATATAATAATAATAATACATAATATGATAATATTTTCCGATAGCCTTTTTGTGTCGGGCCACTTGTTTTCCGTTTGCGCGCCCGTTGTACGTGTTATTGTTATTATCACGCTCACACACACACACACACACCCATATATATACACCAGATATACATGCGATACAGTAATTGTAGTTGTAGTAGTGTATATAGTGACGACTGCCACGACGACGTTTGTCGCCGCGCACCCTTTTTACACGTTTCACGCGAGTCTCTTGCAGCTGTTGCAGCGTGTTAAAAAAAAAAATTCAACTTGAAAATTCAACGCCCGACGGACGGACGAAAGGGGTTGAAAAGTGTAAAGTGTGCCTCTCGCTCTCCTCCGGTCCCCGGACAGTGTAATATTAAACGATATATTGCGCGAGTCGTCTCATAAGTCACGACGTGCACCGAAAACGCAGCAGTACACGCATACATTTACTGTGCTTATATTGTATAGTTCTTCCCCCGCTGCTGCAGCCGGACGACCCGACAGTTGTTACTCAGCGACAAAAAGGGTTGTTTTTAAAGTTTGAGAGAGACGATCGCTTCTTAATGTACATATATATCATACACGTGTACAATAACATCATATGTATTATTGTGTGTCAAACGTTAGAGAGAGAGAGTACCATATACGATAGCGACACAGTTTCACGACATAATATTCTATTGTAGCGTACCCTACAGCGGGGTTCCTTTAACAAGTATCGAATTTTAACTTATTTTTTTTTTTTTTTTTGATTGCGTATTTTATGGCGTTTTATCAATTTTATTCAATTGAAATCCCTACACATTTTGTGAATTATATTTTAGTTTACACTGGCCATAATACTAGGTATATAAAACTGTGATCTAGAACAAAGCATAGAATATACGCGGACTATGCTCAATGATTTTATACATGCATTGATGAATTTGATTAGTGTTTATGGTTTATATGTACCTACTACATACATTGCTTGTCACAATTATTTATGTAATTTTACAAAATGTCAATGCGTGGTTCCGAAAATGCTATTTTCTCCCGGGTTCACGTTCGCCACTCAATTATAATTTTGATATAAAATCAGTCAGTTTGTATAGATTAGTTGTCAAAAACCGTTCTTATCTAAAATTATATAATTTATCAGTATAATAATAATAATTCATCGTTTAGACGAAATATGTTCATACAAATAAATAAATACCCATGTTGAGATAGATAAGACATACGTCATAAATACCAGTGAAAAATAAAAATGTTTACTAAAAACGCTAACTATGTACCAACAATAATAATCATTTACCTATAATAATATCAATACCACAAAATGTAGTCAACAGAAGGTATATAGACATCGAATCCTGCAAACACGCTAAATAAAAGAAGAACTAAAAAGCAAAATAAAGTATAGGCACTTGTGTCACGCTGATAATGTACTAATACGTCTAACGATAGTTATTATGATTCATAACGATATAGCATCAAATGTGGTAGTCGGCGGTGAAGAGAAGGCGGAATATCGAGTCCAACTATTTAAAAGCCTAGATCCTAGCGTACGATCTCCTATACTCTTTTCAGAATAAGAACGCACCAGATTTACGTAACAAAACCGGTTTTGTCCGTGGCCGCCTGGTTCCTTCTTATTCTGAAAAGAGTATAGTGTTGAAGTAATAATTATAGGAAATAATAGAAGAGGCGTGGCCAATGTCGGTGGATCTCATTTCAATTGTTCGACCGGATTTAGTTCACCAAACTACGCCGCGGGGTTCCGATATTGACCGCGAAATGGTCAATTTTTTGTACGTAATCAATATCACGATT